ATTGCTTAACGTTGACAAGCGATTCAATCACACCCCATTTCTGATCCTTTTCTACCTCGTTTTCTAGCTGTGTCGCCTTTGCATTGTCAGTTGCTTACTCATGAGCTCCACGTCGTGCTCAATATTCAGAGGAACTCTCATTCCTGATTCATGGCTGTTGATCATTGCCAAGTGCTAATGAATAGATATTGATTAGATGAGCGATCGAGTGCGACGACGTCGCAGTCGTGAATTGCGAGTGCCACGACACGACGGGGGACTGTCACCGGCGTCACGGCTTCGGATAGCCGCAGACGTCCACCGCCACTCAACTAGTGACGATGACTCCGGTTGTGTCCTTGAAGAGTACGCCTGGGTCCCCAGTGGACTCAAACCGAATATGGTAAGATATCTGAGGGTTGTTTCGACTTCGTGATTAAATCACGCTCTCTAGGTGCACATGTTTTTCGCCACCCTGCCCGAGGAGAAGGTGCCATATGTGAACAGCGCGGGTGAGAAATGGCGAATTCGTCAACTGCGCCATCAGCTTCCGCCGCAAGACTCCGATCCACGATACTGTGCCCGGCTTACTGCCGATGAAGAAGATGAACTCAGGTTTGGATCGATTTTCCTTACTCAATGCTGTTTTCGTTGAGCCTAGGTTTTATACGAGTTTTTCAGACTTTTCGAGCGTCGTCGAAAGGCCGAGTGCCTTGGACGAGGCGCAATTGAGCGCGTGCCGTATGACGACCGAACTCGCAAGTGTGCCACCGTGGGTTCTAGTTATCCTTCTGCTGTCATATTCGATTTCTCAATCCACCTTCATAAACGCTGAGAATTTTACGAGCGCGGCAAACCGGTTACATTATTTCGCTCGCCATTTTCTCATTCTTAGCCATCAATCGGCAGTTAAAGACCTTTACGAGGAATACCAACGGTATTCCTCTAGGAAATTCCTTCACGCTCAAGAAGCGCTCTTGTTTATCGAGGGGAAAATGCCAGTACGAGCAAAAAGCAAATGTTGGTGGTGAAATGGCATTGCGGGCCCATGACGAAGCTCCTCGTAGCGGGCAGCTTTACCGCATGAATCATACGATGGATTTGCGATCGGCCGGCAGACGGGATATGGCTGGCCGTAAAAAACGACCCAGAGCCGGGGCCGCTTCTTCAATGCGACGATACGGATCAGCGGTGACCCTCATCATCATCCGACTGCTCTCAGCTGGTAGAACAGATCAATCAATCAGCTGAACTGGGAGCCGGTAGAGGCAGATGTGCCAATAGAATAAGTTCTAACTGCGATTGCAATAAATTTCTTCATTTTCCTTCTTAGGCGATCCATGGAAAACGATAAGGGAAGCCAATAGATTGGGACCAATCACATTTCAGATTTCTCCTAACGTGAATTAGGCTCTGGGGAGTTTCTGGGCTAGCCAGACTCATCATTTGCCACTCCAACCTTTTTGCTTATACACATGAGATGAGGGATGAGGTCTGGAGAAATTTTTTTTGCTCCCCAGTGAACAAATTTTGATCAGACTGCTGCTTACTGGGCGTCATATCGTTTGAGGGAGGGGGAGTGAAGTGATGCCCGTTACAGTCTGGACTAGCCTTAGGAGAAGGAGGAGTCCGGAGAGATGTTAGCCAACCAATTCTCGCAGGCGTTTTTCTCTGTCTCTTGGGCTTAGTCAGGATCGTCTTACCACGGTTTGAGTACGAATACTGATGTCCCCCTAAGAATGAACGCCCGCTTACTTTCCTCTTGTCCATCAGGCTTATACCGTTTCTTATCGGATTCTCTGTGTTATATGACAGTGAAGCACTGTAGAAAATCTGAGCTCTCCAGTGTCACAGTTTGGAGAAACTTTTCAAGAAAACCCCTCTCTTTTTCCCTCCCCCATCACATTTCCTGCGCCTCCTGTTCTTTGGTTACTTAGAGCTCTTGACGTGAACATGATTAGTGTTTGACCCTGGAGCTGTCAGCCTGCTCATGGGACTGCCAGATGGACGGTGCCACTGTCACAGCTCATCCATTCAGGATATGCCTAATTGTCGGTCACTTGAGAACGCACGTCGGCCAAACATGCCGGCCTTGTCGGTTCCTCAACGAGGTCCTCTCTTCATGGTTGTCGAGAACCACAAATAATGAGTTACTGTGAGAAGTACCTTTTTGGTACATGGCGCCACAAAACAAGGAAACACCCTTCCAGAGATTCAGCTTGAAATCGGAAAAATACGATATCAGATCATTTTTCGGCTAGACGATGTCCTTAGATGCATGAGTGGATTCACTATCCGGTACGTTTCTTTTAGAGGATCTATATTGATGTGTGCTAGACTGCGGTTGCTTCCTGTTTACGCTGAGGCCTTCGAGTATTGGCTGAACTCGTTAACGGCAAGGTGTGGGCGATCTCGTCGTATACGAGCTGCAGGAGGTCGCATCGGTGTAGGTCGTAAAAACGGCTCCGAATAGCTGAACAATTCATCGATTCACCGTCACCCCACTGAAAACTTAACACTGAACTTTCTAGTGGTCGTAACAGTCTCACGAGTGTACACTGGTCGAGTTTTTGTAGTGCGTGTAGGAGGTAACGTGCATATCCTAAGCAGACCAACGGAAGTTCTTGGTAGGTTAGCGATAGCCGATAGAGTCCTCTACGTTTTGCAATCCCTTTAGAGTGTGCCACACATTCGAATTTGGCTTAGAATTCGAGAAGCGTTCAGATGCGTGGCTTGTGTAATACAACATTTAAGTGTGCCACCCTAATGATTCTTGTGCCGTAGAGGTTGTTAGGTGGAACTGATTAAACATCCCGACGTTTCAACCTCGTCTTCCTCACAGCCCCAAGTTTACCTCCGCAGGAGCCAGATAGCGCTCGGCGTTAGTTGCAGTAAGTAAGTAAGTAAGTAAGTAAGGTTCAGTGTTTTCTTGTACTGGAGAAGTCAGAGAAAGGGCCTGTGAGGAAGACGAGGTTGAAACGTCGGAATGATCTTATTGACCCTAAATGAAAGCAGTCAGGCATGGTAGGTTAACTAGTGTAGCTCGATCCTAGGGGCACCTTTTTTGCCAAGGAATTACCTTGAGTAATGCGATTTGCGGTTGAGCCCTGGCTTTCGCAGAGGGAAATGAAATGGAGTAGATACGTATTAGGGTTGAAGAATAAAACAGTAGATCACTCATTAAAGCAACCATTCAGTATGGTATAATCTCGTCATGACTTGAAAAATCTTTAGTGAGGCCTGATTGCGCGAAAATGTTGAATTCAAGAAAGCTCATTCACCTGTTTACTTATATTTTCCGCCACACAACAAATCCAACTAGAGATTGGAAGTGTTGAATTTTACAAATCGCTGCTGAGAGTTAGCCACACTCGCAGCGATCTCAATTTCATAGTTCTGGAAATCTGTAACGACCACTTTTTTCTGAAGAGATATCTTGCTAGTAAATGGTTTTGATGGGTGGCGCATCTGTCGACGAAGCTCTTGGACGAGAGCCATATTCACAAACACACACACATAACCAACCCACACATATCGTTTTCGCTGCTTGACCCTCGCGCATCGCGCGCCCAGCTGTCATGTGCTGCTTATCCGTGATACCGAAAAGCAAATCCCTGTCTACACCCAGGATCACCCTTTCATCTTTATGGGTGCTAAGTATAGGGTTGAAGCTTGCCGATTATCGGAATAAAAGGTGCCACAAACTAGCGACAGAAACGATATTATTATGAAGCATTGAATCAGCATCAGAATGTATAGA